GTGTAACTGTTCACTGTTACTGTTTCGTAAGACTGTTGTAACTCTTTTGTATAAGGCTGGTTCTGTGTAACTCTTTTGTTTCTGTTTTTTTATATTACATGGTTTAAATCAGAAATGTCAAAAAGTGATTTTATATTATTTGAAATACCACAACCAACACATCTTCCTCCCCTCCCCTCCTCTTTCCTCCTCATCTCTGCGCACCTCAATCCCTAAACCCTCTGTTTCTCACCTCCCCCCAATCACACACACCCTTTGTATCTCACACCCACCCACCAAAACACCCCTCTCCTGAAACCTCATATTTTTGGACGGAACACACACCCACTAAAACACAACCCTCCCCAAACCCTCTATAGTTCACCCACGCACACAATCTATTTCTCTGACCACAACACCCACCATACATCCACACACATCACATACCCATTTTAGTGGTTTAGTTTGAATTTTTTTATTGCATTCCAACTGTTTGTTTTTTTGCTCATTAGCACACTGGCAGTGTATCTCAAAAACCCACACACACACATTGAAACCACCTCCCCCTTCCCTTCCCCTGTTCTCTCTGCTCCCCCCCCCCCCAACCCCCACTGCATATACACAAAACATACACACACACAGAGCACATAATTGATGTTAAATTTTGGGGAAATAATTCTATGTGGTCTTAATACTCCACACCAAGTGTTTGTTGAAATGACTGAGAGAAATATTGTATACTCTACCATTGATTTTTTGTTTGATTGATATGAATTTACCATATACCCATTTAGTGGGTTGAATTTATGTCCGTCTTTGATATGTAACTATTCTTATGTCATTCATTGGATTATATTCTTTGGGTTTTAATCAAGAAACGGAAGTGATGAAACCTTAATCAAGAAAGATACTAAAGGAAGCGGTGAAAATAATTGTTAGGCTTTATGTTAATTGTTGTAAGTAGTTCTCTATTTTGATTTATTGTAATGTTCTATATTTGATTTTGTATGGTTCAATTTTTATTAGGACTTGAATATCTGTTAAAATTTGATGGAATAGACATGAATTTTTTGATTTGGGATTTAGAATTGTCTCAAAATGATTATTTTGGTGTATATCATCTGTTAATCATGTGGGTGATTAGTGGAATAAGCCTTTTAATGATTATGGTGTTTACGTAAACTCATCTTTTTGCACGCTTGAATTCACTAAAATGGGTTTGAAGGCAAACTCGGGTACCTGTGTCGTAAAGAAATCACATATCTTTGGAACCCTATTTGCAAAGATTTTCAAACTAGGTAACCAAAGGTTCTGGATTACAGCATTTACTTTTGTTTAATGAATAATACATTATTCAAGTTGTGAGAATGAAAAGAGTGAAAAGTGAATTAGTAGTGTTTATGACACTCTAAGTGAGTTTGTTTGGATTGGAAGACTTTGTTTGGTATAGTTTATGAGAATCAGTGTGGTTTGCAATGAATGAAATCTTATAATTTTCATGTATGTGCGATAGTTTTAATTATCATGATTTTCTTGGTCCATTAGCTAATATGAATACTGATATGTTATGGTGGTAGTTGGTAACTACTATAATGTTGTTGTGGTAGTTGGTATGATTATGAAATTTTGTAGGTAGATTGATATAGTTGTAATGTCATATTTTCATGAAATACTTTGTTGAAAATTTTAAAATTTCCTACACTGATTTCAAATTTTCTTTAATATGAAGCAAAAAGAAGCTTGATATGCAGTTTTGGCTTGATATATGTCTAAGTGCAGGTAAGTTAAAGTAAGCAGTTTTGATTTTCAACTTAGTTTGCGTTCGAGTTCAGTACTTAATTATTTTGTGCCCAAATTTAATATTTGATTTTTTTAATTGTATCATACTTTTAGGCACGAATTATTCTTAGTAATTTTATATTAAACCAACTATCCAAGCAGGTTTTACTATTTTCTATTTTATAAAATTATTTTTAAAATCATTTAACCAAACGAATTCTTCGTTTCAAAAACTATTTTCTAAAACTCTTTTACAATATTATTTTAGATACTATTTTTTGAGATACAAATTAAAGAGACTCTATCTCTCCCAAAACCCCCAGATTATCGCCATAAAAAAACGTGGTCTCAGGTGTCCCACAAAATACACATAAAGTGGGAAACTTTGGACTTCTGGCTTGAACAACTGATTTTTCTGCTGGTGGAGGTATCCCATGCATTTGGTGCCTGAGCTTGCTTGATATTTATCACATCATCAAGCTGAGCTCCCACGTGCTGGAGCTGTTCATTCCTTGTTGGATAATTGTCGCCAGCTTGATTCTTGGCTTCACCTACCTTGCGTGACCTGACATCTTAGCAATCCTCTTAGGTTTGTCAATGTTTTTTGGGTAAATAGACAAGGTTTGTCAACGTTCTTCTGGCATTATTGGTGAGTTTGTTATCACAATTTTTAACTTTGCTTAGACTTTCTGTTTTGGTTTTTTTAATTACTGTATGCATTTGATGCTGAGGTTGGGTTTAGATGGTTGGGTTTTGTATATGATCACAAAGTGTTTGTTGTTTTGCTTCAATGGGGAAAAAAATACGGGAAATGCTATCTTTTAATTGATGTTCTGATTCTTGGTAATTTTCTTTTTCTAGAATCTAAGTTTTTATATGAGTTCTGTTTTCTTGATTCCCCATAATAATGTGATCTTTTTGGGTGAGAAGAGATTGATATGAGCACTGTCAGATATGCAGTGCAAAGTGAAAGTATGATTTTTCAGGGATTTATGGGAACAAGCATGAATGCCCTTGCTACATAGATATGAGGAGCTCCAAGGGCAAGCCCAAGTGTCTATAAACAGATATATTCTGCACACACAAACACACACAAAGACATTGAATATTAGATCTTAGACTTTTAATGAGGATGTATGAGGTCTTCTGCATGGCCCTATCTATTTCTTCGTTTATATTGTTGTTATTTTCCTATGCTTTGTGGTATATATGCCAATGACCTCCACTACGATTGTGGATATAGCATATTGGCCTCACTATATCCATTTTGCAGGTATATTCATAACTTCCCCAGGTTTTTCATACAACAACTGCCTCTAATTTCTTGGTCAAATCTGCCAGTAAGATATGGTTTGTGACTTCAAAGCGACATGCTAACTGAATATTGAATCGAAGCTTGTTTACGCTCGATTCAAGGCTCAGGCTCGAACTCAGTTATCAAACTTGGAACAGGTGATTTGTCAATTTGCTTAGAGAAGGTGAGCAAGAAAGAAAACCAAACTTTACATGACATCATTTTATAGGGTGACAGTAAAAGAAACTTCTATTACCAACATTATTTCTAAACCTTTTCTTTTTTGTTGATTGCAGTTTTAGTTAAAGGCATTGAACATTGAAGGAGTAATTTGAACACAAAGACTTTCTCGATATTGGCTTCAATATTGTTTCTAGCGGTAAGCTTCATGATGTTTGTGTTTTTGGTGCCAAGTGATTGGCAACGTAGTTTACCCAGAGGTGGATCCACAGTGGGGGCAGCGGGGGTAGAATTTTAAAAAAATGTGAAGTGTAAGTATAATTTCAAAAATTTTAGAATTTATTAGACATTTGCCCCCACTAAAAAGTTTTAAAAAATTTATGGGACTAGTAGTTCTCTTTCTGTTTTATTGTTTTATGTATTGAATTGAAATTGAGGTTTGTAGTCTTCTATTTATTTTTATATGTTGAAATGAAATTGGAGTTTGTAGTCATCTTATATGATTTATTTTTTTATATATTTAATTGATAATGGAGTTTGTAGTCCTCTCTTTTGTTTTATTCTTATATGTTGAATTAAAATTGGGGCGTGTAATCCTCCATTATGTGTTAGATTAATTTGTTTTGATTTGATGGTTTGAATAGTTTTATTGTGATTGGTTAAGTAATTCTTATATTTAGGTTTAGTTTAATAGAATAGTCATAGTTGAAGTTAGTTTCTATTGTTTGTTAAAATTCACGATGAATACTAAGTTTGTGACCAAAAAAATTAATTTTTAAAAAATTAATTGGGCAATCGAATGAGAGATCAATGGATGAACAATTGTTTGGTTATATATATCAAGAAAGAAATTTTAAGTACCATTGATAATGAAATTATAATACAACGCTTTCAAAATATAAAAGCTCGTTGGGAGCAACTATGAATATTTATAAGATGCTCGACAATTTGGATTTTCTCATTATAGACTCAATATATGATTGAGTCCAATTTTTTGATTCAAAATTTTTTTGTTAGGTCTTATAGATAAATTTATGGTAAGTTTTTTTTTTTGTTGACTCTTTTTGTATATCGCTCATGTATATGAATTGCACTTTTAATTGATGTTCTATTAATAAAAATATATGTTTGTGAACATTTGAAATTTTAATTGTTGTTGCTCCCACCGGAGAAGATGTCTGGCTCTGCCCCTGAGTTTACTCTTTGGATTTTGGTGTCGAGTGCTATTTTTGGTGCCCCACTTTAGTTTTTTTTTTTTTTTTGAACATGGCCTAACTTTAGCTTCAATATATTAATTTTCTATTATTTATAATTCAATTCATTTTCTATTATTGGTCATGTTCTGTATTTGCGCTGTGACTGTGAAATTCATTTATTTTATTGCGGTAGTTGGTACATGGTTGTATTTACACAAGACTATGGCATTATGGTAAGTCCAATTTGATAGCTTTTTAGGGGCATGATTATTAATTGTGTGTGCGTGTTGAAATTGTTTTTTCTAGGCTCTAATTTTTAGAGAAAATTCTTCCAATTTTTTAAAAAGACAATAGATCAAAATTAAACTTTACAATAGCAACATTTAATTATTTTAAGTAATTTGAGTCTCGAATATGGATTCAACTTTTTTTAAGGGATTTAAATTTTTTCTAATTGTCTATTTTTCTTTATTATTACATAGTGTCTTTAGGAACGGGTCTATGTTTAGTTCTATTATATATGATATTCTAACTACATCACTGACATTAGGATTTGCTATATTTTACTTTTTGTTGCCTTTTGATCTCTTAACCTGATGCTTATTTACCTGAAGTTGATGCATAACCTTAGTGAGAATGTGACATTGATTATGGTGCCTTACAGGGAATGAGAGTTCCTCGAGGTCTTGAGGTTTGGAAAATGGGCACCGTCAACTACCTGGATGCCCTTAAGCTGCAGGACAAGCTGGTCTCCAATAAAAAAACCCATAGGATTTCTGATACACTTCTCTCCCTGCAACATCCACCTACCTATACCCTTGGCAAAAGGCGAACTGATCACAATTTATTGGTTACTGAGGCTGAACTCAAAACTATAGGGGCAGAACTTCACTACACAGAAAGGGGAGGGGATATTACATTTCATGGTCCACACCAAGCCATCTTATATCCCATTATTTCTTTGAGGGAGATTGGGATTGGTGCCAGGAAGTATGTAGAGAAGCTCGAGTTAACTATGATTGAATTGGCGTCTTCATATGGTGTAAAAGCTCGTGCTGGACAAATCGGTGAGACGGGTGTTTGGGTTGGAGAGAAAAAAATTGGAGCAATTGGGGTTCGAATATCATCAGGGATTACTTGTCATGGATTAGCATTTAACATTGATCCTGATCTGAGTTATTTCAAGTATATTGTGCCTTGTGGGATTGCGGATAAGGAAGTTACATCTCTGAGAAGAGAGACAGACATGGCGCTCCCTGCTGAAGAAGTGATTCATGAGCAGTTGGTTTCTTGTTTTGTGAGGGTATTTGGTTATGGTAGTGTTATTTGGAGAGAGAATGAATCAATACTGTCGGATATTGAGCGAAATTGAAAGGCCTTTAGCCGTTATACCCCATAGACTGTAATAACTGTTAATGGTTTACAATTGATTAATCTGTTTTTTATGATCTAAATTTCTTGTTTGCAGGTCAAATTAATCAGAGAAATATAGTAAATGTTTCAAGTTTGAAGCATGTATATGACTGGAAGTTGAATTTTTGCTTACAGTTTCTTCTGATGGTGATAATATAATTTTTATTATTTTTTCCCTGGGAAAAAGATTGACTAGCAGTTTATGGAAAATAGACATAGAACCATTGGCATCAGTAATCCTGACTCAAATTTAGACTCAAATTAAAATGGGAAATTTAGAGGCTAGTCACCTTTGTGGAATTATTTGATTGTTTAACATTAAGTCTATTTTGATCTTCACTGTCCAAAATACTTTCAATAATAATGTTTAATTAAAACGAATTTAAAAATTAATAATTCTTAAATTTTAAGAGTTTGACTAATATTAACATTCTCTATCTCATATCTATTTATATTCATATATAGAATATGATTATTTATTTTTTTCTCATACATATAGTAATATTTCAAAAAAAATAGTAACATTTAAACACAAAAAAAATAATAATAACATTGAGTATTAATATTTGGGAAAACAACAATAGTAATATGTTAAACAAAAACGGTAGCATGAACAGTAACATGGAACATTAAAAAATATATATATATATATATATATATATATATCTCAATTGTTCTTTGAATTTAAATTTTAAATTTATGTAAAAAAATTTATTAGCATATCTTTATTGATAGTAAATTATGGGACAGCAATTCTCAAGTTAAGAAACTAATTTAAAGTTGTTTTCAAGGAAATATATTTTAGAGTTTTAAAAAGTTGGTGGACTAACTACTTACTAATTAAAAATTACTTATTTTCAAATAAGTTTCCTCGACGGACTAACTTATTATAAGTCCATTAAGGAAGACTCAACCCCAATTTTCACAATTTAAATTTGAGTAAAATAGCCAAAAAAAAAATTATCTAACTTTTAACTCAAACTTATACCAAATAAAATGAAACAATTTTTTTTACTCAAATCAAGAGAGACTCAAATTTTTACCCAAATTTTTAATTGTGAGATTTTACCATCTTTTAAAGATCTAAAGATCATCTTTACTCTCATTTACATTTGAGTTTGTCCTCATTTAAATTTAAGTCTCTCTTTCTTTAAATTTGAGTTTATTCATTAGAGCCGTTTATATAAAATCAAACTTTTAACTTAAATGTTAATTTAAATTTGAGTAAAAATTTGAGTCATGGTTAGAGATACTCTTCTCCTATAAAAATTTTGAAAAAAAATTGCCGAAGTAAATAAGAGCAATTGCTATAGTTGTACCCATTTTATAGCTTTTGAATGAAGTCATCAAGTAGTATAAGTACCGAAAAATGAACATATCAGGTTGCTAAATTGGGAAGATTTTATGGGTTATTAACTCGAGGTTCCAGTCTTGTCCTTTTTTCCTCTGCTCTTGGTAATCGAGAGTATGTACATCTAGAGTTCACCTGCGTCTGTGGTTAGAAACTTAGGATGGCGCTTCGGGAGCCAGGGAAAAAAAATACCAAGGAGGTCCATTGTAGTTGATCAGCCAGCTAAGTTAACAAGATTAGAACATCTTTTGATATTTTACCATTGCATTAGATAATCACACTCAACAAACATCACCTAGTTTGATCCCAAAATGTAAGGTCGTCAAATAGCCTGCGGGCCAAATGATTGCCCATGGGGCTATTGGGCAGTCCCAGCTTGCCATGTGGCAGTCGTGACTGTGAGTAGCCCATTAGACGGGCTGTTAGGGCCACCGTGCTTTATTTCTAAGGTGATTTGAAAGTCGGGACAAAAATTTTAATTTATTTAAGCAAGATTATATTAAAGAAACTTCTTTAATCCTAAATGCATTTTTTTTTGAAAATAGACAAAAAAACCATTTAGTACTTCATTACTCTCTCTCTCTCTCCCTTTATCTCTATATTACTCTGTCACTATCTCTTCACTATTTTCTCATTATTTATTTCTTTCTCTTTCTTTCACATTGATAATTTATTTTTTTTAAATATATAAAGATTTGATTTAATTTTTTTTCATCTCTGTCCCTTATTTTTTTTTCTCGCTCTCACTCTCTCTCCCTTATTTTCTTTTTCTCTCTCCTTATATTAATATTACAACAACACAATTACACTAATTAGTTACACCAATTAATTACAATTACCTTATAATACATCAAACAGTTACTCGTGTGTTCTAATAAACCAAACAGTTACACTAAATAATTATACGAAATTACAACATTAACCCAATTTGTCATTTAGATATTTATATAAATCAAAAAATTACACTATTTAGTATCACGACATGATTACAACAATTATATACACTAAATTGGGTTTATCATTACACAAAAAATAATTTCATTATACTAAATTTGGTATATATAATTGGTGTAACGATGTTACAATACTAAATGGTACAACTATTAAGTTTATGTAAACAACTAAATAACAAATTGGGTTGGTGTCATAATTTTGTGTAATTGGGTTGGTGTCATAATTTTGTGTAACTGTTTGGTGTATTATAAGATAATTGTAATTGATTGGTTTAACTAAATAGTGTAAGAGCAATGCTATATGGACTTAAAAAGTAAACTTAAAAACTAGAGTTGACAATTAAAATCATTGGTTTCACTGTGGGTCCCAGCATTTATTAGGACCCACTACTTATTCAATAGTTGAGATTATCAAGTCTAATTTTTAAGTCCATATAGCATTGCTCTTAGTGTAATTGTGTTATTGTAATGTTGAGAGAGATGAAAAAATAAATCAAATTTTTAAAAATTTAAAAAAGAAAATAAATTGTCAAAGATAGATAGAGAGAAAATATAGGAGAGATGGGGAAAATAACAGGAAGAAAGAGATGGAAAGAAAATAGGGGAGAGATAGTGAAAGAGTCTAATGAAATTTTTACATATTTGATTAGATATATAACTGTCAATCAAAGAATACATAATTTAAGAGAAGATATTTAGGTAAAAAAGTTTTGATTTCATTTGAATTTTATACCTAAACACAATATGTTTTATTAAAATTGAACTTAATAAAGTAAACAACTTGTCCATACATTTTTTCTCAAATAAATCTAAAAAAAATGTACCCACAGCCAAAAAATCCTTACTTTTAGTGTATGTTGCTTATTGCCATAGCTTGATTTGTTCTCTTAAAAAATAAAAATTGAGGCTAAGTCCTCCTTAAGGGACTTATAATGAGTTTAGTCCATTAAGAAATTTATTTTGAGATAAGTTTCTTTTTAATCTTACTAATAAGTAGTTAAGTCTAGTATTTTTTTTAAAACTTCAAAATACCCTTGAAAGTAACCCCAATTAATTTCTTATCTCGGAAATTATTATCCCTTAATTCAATAGAGATATTTGACCGATAAAATCTCATCATAAATTTGAAATTCAAA